TCTCTGTCTCGCTGGCCGTGAGTGAACGCAGCAACTCTCATCACACCAGACACGTGAAAAAGACCTTTAGAAAGGAGGTCATGCGAGTTTCCTAGCTAGGAACTAATTCCTCCGAGAATCTCACCCAGACAGTTTTTTTCAAAGGATCCTATTGCATCAGCCTCGGTAGTCTGATAGTGGAGTAAGGTGCTCCAGACTCCTACTACTCTTTGTGCAAACGGGTGCCATTCTACCCCGAGACAACAAGCCGACATGCAGCTCCCCAAAGGTCAACTTCTCGAGTCAAGGTCATCGAAGGCATTAGTCTAAACACACTGGTGATCATCAGCCCACATCCCTGTGGCTCTACAGTGCTCTGACACAGCACTGAAGGGTTGACGATGAGATGCTTGTTAACTCATTAACTGTGGATAGACTCTCTCCATCTCCATCAATGTCTTTTCTTTCCCTGGCCAGGTCTCTAAGGCACATCAGAGAGCACCACACATTGCTGGCACTGTGCTGCTCTTCGTCATGGTCAAAACTGCTTGAGCAATACAGGGGACAGACCACTGACCTCTCTTTGGCCCGATCGCACAGGATCACAATGAAAGCTGAACCCTCACTTCAAGAGCCAAAAGTTACAGTTACAAGAGGCACCGTGCCTGCCTTTGAAAGATGCCCCTTACATAGGGGGGACAGCTGTGAAAGACACACACCCGAGCGTAAATTGGCACGTCGCTTTGCGTGACTTTATCTGACTCACTTAGAAACCACAGGATTAAATCTATACGATCATGAGCACACTTCAGGCGTGCTTGCACGCTTTCCTGTAGCATTGACAGCTACTTTTTGCAAAATGTTCGTGTTTCCCCCTCATGTGGTGGGGGAATGATGATGGCGCAGGATGATGACGATGACAAGGACGTTGATAATATCGATGACGATGGTGATGTCGTCGATGATGATGATGATGGCAATGATGATGACACTGATGTTGGAGATGATGAAGGTGACGATGGTGATGTTGATGATGAAGACGGTGGTGACGATATTGACATTGGTGAGAGTGGCACTGATGATGATATTGATGTTGGTGGTGAAGGTGATGGTGATGTCGTTGATGACAAAGACAACGGCAATGATGACGATACTGACGTTGTTGGTGGTGAAGATGATGATGAGGATGCTGTTGATGTCGTTGATGATGACGATGTTAATACTGATGTTGTTGAGAGTGATGACGATGGCAGTGATGTCATTGACGACGATGGCAGTGATGATATTGATGTTGGTGGTGATGATATTGGCGATAATAGTGACCAGCTTGTGTACACATAACCCTACCAAATAATCTCTCTGTGTGACAAATGATTTAAAGGGCAATTTAAAGAAAATATATGAACAACTAAAAGTAAGTGAACGTGCATGTGGAGTGTGGGGCTGCAGTCTTTGAGAGATAATCTGTCCCCATGCTCTCACACACACTCTCACACACTCACTCTCTCACACACACTCACTCCCACACTCACTCTCTCACACACACACTCTCTCACACACACTCACACTCACACTCACTCCCACACACACACACTCACTCTCTCTCAGACACACACACACAC